GCCCAGTGATCAGCTCCAAAAGCATGACTCCAAAGGAGAAGACGTCTGATTTATCTGTGAGTTTCCCACTAGAAGCATATTCGGGAGCCAAGTACCTGGATGTGGTGAGAAGGTAAGTCCATGTATAGAACTGATTAAATGCTTAATGACATATGGTACCAATCATCAAGCTAGAAATCAAGCACAGCTGAAAGAACTAGAACACAAAAGCTGAAGGGATGTTCTTACCCAAAAGTTCCCATCACCCTGGTGGAGACATGAGTATTGACATCGGAACAAAACTTTGCAAGTCCAAAATCAGAAACCTGAGCACAAAATTTTAAGATCATCTCCTAGTCAACAGGGAGTAAATGCACATTTGAATGACCATCAAATAATTCAAAATGCATGCAAGACAAAGTGAGACCATAACTTTTACTTGCACTTCGCACAATACTTTTCCACTAAAAAAAATGATAAGCATTGAAAAGGGTATGTGAAGCAAATGCATATCCTACATCAACCACATAGACGGTAATTCACTTTCCTTTCAGTTGTACAAGTTTTTATCTTTGTTCAGGACAAGATAATGGAGGAAATCGATACCTTTGCCTCAAATTTGAAATCCAAAAGAATATTAGCTGCTTTGATGTCACGATGAATGATCTTAGGATGACCTGCAGCATACATGGAGAAAGATTTAAATTCTATCATACGGAGAGAGTAAGGGAGAGGGAGCAAGGGACACATACAATCTTCATGTAAATATGCCAGTCCTTTTGCAGAACCTAAAGCAATTTTCATCCTTGTTGGCCAATCCATTGTAGGTTGCCCCTTACCTGAAATGAGCAAAAGAATGAACAGTCAACTGTGAGAACTGAAACCAAAGAAATGAAGAATCATTTAACAGAAAATGAAGAAATTTCATGTGAAAATTTACCAAAAAGTAACTATCCAAAATATATTTCTCTTAATTGAAACTCAGAACACAAACTTATACCATGCAAGTGAAATTCCAGAGTGTTGTTAGGAACAAAGTCGTAAACAAGCATTCTATGTGACCCGGTAATGCAGTATCTAACCAATGAAACAAGATCCTTGTGATGAACTCGGCTGATAATCTCGACTTCTGCCAGAAATTCTCGTTCTCCCTGTTCACTTCCAACCTTCAGACGCTTTACTGCTACTTCTTTCCCATTTGGTAGGATTCCTTTGTGCACATACCCAAAACCACCTTGTCCAAGAAGGTTTGCATCTGAGAACCCTTCCGTTGCGCTCGCTAATTCCTCATATGTGAAAGTACTATTTGAGAGACCTAATGCAGTCCCAGGGGAAAAAGATGGAAGGATCTCACCACATGAATAGTTGGAGCCAGAACCACCACTGCAACTCGTGAACGGTGGTGGTTCTGTTGTTGAATTTGAAGTTGTGGAAGAGTAACCAGGTGACTGCCGCTGCCTTGATGGAACTGGTGGTGGAGAGGGCTTTGGATATGTAACATTATCAGCATGAGAGGGAGGATTTTCTTGCCAGTGATACTGCTGACCACCATAAACACCATCTGGCAATACCAAAATAGTGCAGTAAATATCATTCCCTTGTCCAAGAATTAATAATAATTATTAGGCATGTCTAACTGGAATGTGTAAGAAACCCCAACCATTGCTTTCAGTGAATCAATTACAGTTCCTTAAAAGAACAAAATCTAAAGAGAACTTCGAAACTTATTCAAAAGGGAAATTCATATAAGAAACACCCTGATTGACCCCATAACCAAAGAGGCTATGCAGATGCAGGGCAGCAATCCCATGTTTTCTGGATTATAGGCAAAGATCCGTGTTTCAAGATTGTAAAAAGTAGACGAAGAAAATAAAATGTTGAAATTGATTCCTTCTTCAAGCTCTAAATCCCCCAGAATTCAAAGAAAATAAAATCCTGGATTTTTTTATCCAAAATCCATATACCAGGAAATAAAATCCTCACCCAAATTTGGAAAAGAAATAAACATGCAAATTTAGATAAGCCACCGTCAAACAGGATTTTGATAAATTGCTTACTTTTAGGCCCAGCAGGTGCCGGCGGCGGCCCATTGTAATTTTCCTCATCACTTCTTCTTCTCTTCTTCCTACGGTAGACGAAGAGAAGACTTAGCACCAGCAGTATCACCACTCCCGCCATAACTATTCCCACTACCAACCCCGTGGAGACATTGCTTGACGGATTGCCCGAAAGAGGTTGAGGGGCGGGCACTGAAGGGGGTGCTGGAGCTGGAGATGAAGCTGGAGCTGGAGTTGCAGGTGGAGCTGGAGCTGTAGTTGAAGTTGGAGCTGGAGCTGAAGCTGGAGCCAGGGGGGAGGGGGAGGGGGAGGTGCAGGTGGGTCCCCACAGGAGTCACATGGGGGTGGGGAGGTCGGAGGCGCCGACGGCCCGTACGACATGGTCACCGGGAAAAAAAATCAAAAACAAAAAAAGAAGAAGATATTTTTCGCTTCTTCTTCTCCCCTCTCTTCCTCACCAAAGACGGGGATGGAAGATAAAAAAAAGGGCTGCCAAATGAAGGAGTTGATTTGGTGGCGGTTGTCTGAAATAAATTCCGGCAGCGCTTTCCAATTTCGCACACTTCTAAATACGACGTGATAAATACTCCTCAATACTACGTGATAGATAATTTCCGAACGCGCTTTTCAATTTCGCACGGTCCTACTCGGCTGGTCCGTGGTCTTTTCCTTTCATTACTTGTTTTTACATTTTTTTTTAAATAAATACCGTAAATACTGAACCTCAGCTTACCCGTTTGGGATGATATGGAGGTTTTTGCTTTTTGTTTTTTTATTATTATAGATAATAAAATAAAAAGCGTGTTTTTTTTTTTTTTAAATATTTTGTTCAAGGATTCAGCGCTAATCGGAGCTGTGGATTCAGAATGATTTATCCAAAGTATTTATCACGTAGTATTGAGGAGTATTTATCACCATTTAGAAGTGTTAAGAAGGCTCTCTCTAATATTATTTGGATTTTTCTAATTTATATTTTTAGAGTACAGTGAAAAATATTTTTTTATTATAAATATAAAAAAAATATAAAAATTGATATTAATTTTGGTATTAGGTAAATTTAATTGAATAATTAAAAAATTAAAAGTTAATTTTTATTTTTTCAATGCAAATTTTTTACGTAAAAGTGTATTTAATATATCTCTAATTTGTTTTAAAGACATAGGTTAAACAAATTTATAT